CGATTTCGGCCTCACGGGCTTGGGCAAGGGTGGTCAGCAGGTCCAGCGTTGTCGCGAGACATATGCCCGTGCTGTTGAAGCTCTGGTCGAACTTGCCAGTCTACAGGTACGCCGCCGCGCGTCTCCATTGAACACTGCAGAAGCACTAACAGCGCCAAGACCGCTTTCGTTATTTTGGATGAGGTTATCAAGGTCGTTAATCGACGTGGTATGTATTCGATCAAACGTTGAACTTCTTAGCGATTGACTAACATTTTGCAGTAAACGCCATGTAAGATGCCTGCGAGATCATCTTGGCAGTCCACCACTGACCGTCTCACCAGCGAGCACGTTATTATTCCCAGGACAGAAAACACCATCAAGTGTATGTTGTATGCCTCACTTTGGGATACCTATCTAACTTTGACTACAGACATTAACTCGGAGCTGGACGAACTTGACAGAGAGGAGTTCTACAGACTTAAAAAGGTACGTGGAGGTCCGTCAGATCTTGATGGCAATTTCTCACAGTGCACTGCAGGTTGCCGGAAAGAAACAGAGAGACACTGCTGCCGCAGACGCCGAGATCAAGGCCAAAAAGGCCGCACGGGCAGCAGAAGAGAAGGGCGATACGTCAGGCCCCGGCGACCTTCTCGCTGCGGAGGAAGACAACGACGTTATTTTCTAGCTTGTCCTTGGGGCACGGATTGAGAGGTGGCGATCAAGCATGCGTCGGGTGCGGTGTTATTAGACTTAGGTAGCCTTCATTGGGTACGCACTCGTTGTAAACATTAGTACCCTGCCGGAACACATTTATTACCTCCCTACATGCAAACAGAGTTGAGGCTGTTGCCTTCGTCCCAATCAACCGTCTTACTGGCGCTGGTATGTGACCTTGATCGTGTGCGTGTCCCCCAGCACCATGCCCGCCGTGTTCTCCTTCGCCGTAATGGCACCCTGCTCACCCTCGTACTCTACAAAGGCAATACCGCGGCGTCCAGGCACCAATCTGACCTCACGGAAACCCTCGAAACGGCCAAAGATACTGGTAACAGCCTCGATATCGTAGTCGTCGGGCAAGTTCTGTACAAAGAGAATCTTGTTTGGGGGCAGATACTCGTCGGGAATGACTGCTGTGGTAGAGGGATTTGTGGACTTGAGACCAGTTCCACGAGCAGCCTTGGCAGGACGGGCATCTGCTGCCGGTGCACCGCCAGGGCCAGGTCTCTTGAGACGTTTCTGCTCCTCGGCAGCCTCGAATGCCTTCTTCTTGTCTGTTGGTGATGAGAGGACAGAGTCAGCAAACCGTTCTAGTTCAAAGTAGCGAGAGAAGGCAGTGTGAAGGGCGAAATGGAATTACCCTTTTCAGCCAAGCGGCGGCGCTTGTGAAGCTCAAATTCGTCGTCGTTGCCTACCGACTTGACGGTCGCGTCGCTCCTCGTCCGGGCCAGGGCCAGCTGCATAGGCTTCTCGAATAGCTCGAATCCCTGAATCTCCTCGATGGCCTTGCGCGCAGCCTCTGGATCGTCAAAGACGACAAAAGCCTGGCCCTTGGCCTTGAGATTCGTCTTGGCGACAATGTCAATTACATTGCCGTAATCGGAGAAGATCTGAAGCAGCGCATCCTTCAGCTGGTCGACTTTGGCGCGCTCCTCGAGGTTTCGCACGTATACCCTGTGGCACAAAAGGTCAGCCAACGGCCCGACGTGTCGAAGTGCAATGACACGTACGTGGCGATAGGAAGACCGGAAGCCATGTCTACGGTTGTGTAGGCGAGCTCCAAACAAAAATGAACGGGAAGAAGAGGGAAATGTAAGTGCTGAACTCGAGTGACAGACTGAAATTGGCTTGTGCATAGTGTTGCGGTAAGTTCTGGTTGCCTAAGGCGCGTACCTACCTTGGGCACGGCCGATCTACCCTTACGGCCTGCGCGGTGACGCGCGCAACCTCACGCTTTCAACTTCAACATCAAGCTATCATAGCTTCGCTTCATTCTTGTTGCACAATCATTGAGCAATCTCTACTAGTGTTTCACGAAAACGACACTACCTACTAAGTAGACTATTGATCAGCACCTGAGAAGATGCATGGTGTTGTACTAGACTAGAGATCATTACTCTAGCTCTGTTGGACACCTCGCGGCCTTCTTTTGCTGGGCTGTAACCTTGCTATCTTGGGGCTATAGACACTATCCGCTTTACAATTGTCACATACGACCATACCCATTGGAAAACTCGGGATCCCGTCCGCTCTCCCATAGATAAGCCAATGAGGGCCAGATTAGTAGTTGGGTCGGTGACGACCAGCGAATACCTGGTGTTGTATGTTTTGACGCAGACGATCTCTTTTTCTTCAGTTTTGCTCGTTCGCAAAGAATGGGTTACTTTTGGCCTTGTACTTCAAGCTTAATCCTAAAGTATCTTGATCAGCCTGGTCTCCAGGTTAGAAGCAAAAGTCGTTGGCGGAGCTCGTGTGTTCGGATTACGCAACCTGCCAGAACAAGGAACGGTATTGTTCTGAGAATGGCTAGGGCTCGTATATTAGATGAATTCAAGCTAGGCTCGAGGACAGAATCCCGTAGATCTTCGGCAATCAACTTCGTAGTCATGTCACCTCCGTCTTGCAGACAGAACCTTCGCTGCCTAGCCCCTGACGAGCCTTTGACTGATCACTAGTCTCCAGAGGCTTGCCCCCAAACCTTACAGCAAAATCCACAGGATGCTTTCAGCAGCCGAATTCGTTTACTGCTGACTACGAATCTGAAGTCAGGAAGCTCGCCATAGGATGTGAATATACGAAAATATGACATTCACTATTTCTCTCCCCTATCTCTTCCTGGGTACCTCCTAGCTAGCCTCTACACCTAATTTATTTTTATCTGAATTAAGAGACTGAGGATAGTATTTTGACTTCCTCCAAGGGTTCTCTCTGAAAGGGGCTCTGCAAAGTCCAATATAGCGAAGCAACTCAATTTCGTCCCTCTCAAAATCATCGCGCCTAATCTTCAAATGCTGGGCAAGGACTATTGAGATTCACCTCTACATCTTGATGGAAACGGGCGCCGTCACTGGGCACCTAGGAAGGTGGTGCTGTAGGTTCGGCAGGAGGCATGTCCTCCAAGTCTGGGTCGATCATGGACTGCTGGGGATCTAAAGATCCACAATCCATTGCCGTTGAGACACCGTCGTAGAAGGCCTCGTTGTAAGCTGCATCTAGGTAGGCTTGAAAGTTCCCATCGCTGAAGGGCACCTTGGTGTGCTCGTATTCGATGCCGTTGAACTGGTCTTTCGTTCGCTGTGGCAATCGGTGCCAGCCAACGAGAGGACTCAAAGCACCGCTGGGTCCGACGTCAGAGGGAAAGAGAATTTGACCAGCATCATAGGTGACGAGAGGATGTGTCGCGGGCCCGGTGCCGTCTTTGGCGACATAAAGCGTAGTTGTTCGCTTCGTGTCGAACTGGCCGGGGCTTGTGGAATAGCTGATGCCACGAGGGGAAAAGCTTCTAGCTTCATCCGGGCATTTTTGGAAGGCAAACCATACCACTGCAGTAAGCCAGTGATGACGATGCTGCTCAGCATCTCCCATGACCTTGGAAAGGTAGTAGCTGCAGAGAACGGCGAATCTATCGTGAGATTTATCAACTCTCGTGTAAGTCTGACCAGCCTGTTTGAAACCACGGCAATCGCCTACGAAGAGGCAGCACGGGCTGCAGGCAGGTCTCTAAGTTCCGGAACATACTACTATTTCATGAACTGCGCTCTTGGGCCGGCTCAGTCCTCGGTACCTCTCGTGCAGTGGGCGAACTCGGCACACGGCTGCAGTCATGTTGGCCTTGTCGTTGGCAAAACGGCTAGGTTTGGAGTCAAGAAGTTTAAGGCAGTCTATATCCACATCAGACTGTGGGATACTGGTTTCTCTCAGTCTCAGCACGACTACACTCCATATGAGAATCAGAAGTAAGTAAATGTTGAGCTGCGTTATTCACTGTTCAACGCTGACAATGGCAGGCTCGTCTATGGTGGCAAAACGACTTCATCCAAAGCTAATCTTAACAGGCTAGTGGATGCAGGTATGTCTTCGCGTTGTTTTGTTTTGCACTGGAACAGCATGCTCATATTGTTCAAGGTATCGCATGGCTCGAAGATGCTGGATACGAGCTTACAGAGGAGCATAACTGTGTAGCCCATTACTAGTATCTTGCAAGCCTCCTCTAGTGCTGATATGTCAGAAAGCACTTGGTTTGAAGTCTTCAGGTTACAATATGGTGCAAAACTTATGAGGACACATCGGGGAACCTCTAAGTACTATGATTTACCTGGACTAGCTGAATGAATCTGCCCCTTAGGCGTGTGCCTACGAAAGAAAGTCTGAGCCAGATTTTATTCATAGATACAAGCCGTAGATCTAAACAAAGCTTCCATAATCCAGATTGCCGCCAGCTTGCTGTCTTTTCTAAAGACTTCACACCGTTGTTCCGGTCTCCCCGTTATCATCGTAACAGGACGACGTGAACTATTTTTTTGGGGAGACAAAAAAACCATTGAAACCTAACATTTGTTGGTGATTTTTGATAGCATGTCCTCCATCTGTGCCATCACTCGCACATTGCGTGTGTGAAAGAGGGCCACTTTCAGCTCCCAACGGGTTGCCGAGATGTGCTGCCCAGAACTCTTTCCCCGCAGCGTTCTGGAGCTTGCAAGTGTTGGGAACGAACTCGTGTCATCGACGCCTCTGATTGGAATAAAGAATGGCTTTCTATTTTACACTGGGTCTTGATGATACACTGCACTTGGCCACGATGACATGCGTAGCTCTACTGCGTCTCAGCTTCTCCTTCCACTCATGCAAAGCACTCTCGATGGTATCCCGTGGGTGAATTGTATCTAATGCCGATATGGCACAGCATCTTGACTATCATGAATACCTGACCCATGCTGCCCCCAGTTGCCATATATATGTACACGTAAACAGTCATCTCAACTATCGGCATTCACACTCAGGCGCCTTACAATGAGTTATCTCTAGGCAGTCGTACCAGCCGCTGGCGCCGGCTCTTCTCCACTACTTGGTTCTTCCAAGGCCAGGTCACTCTTCAGTTCTGGAAGGAAACGGTCGATCCGTTTCCAGGTCTCGTTCCATAACTTTTCCTTCGAAGCGTCTTGTCTGGGGGACACCAAGAAGCCGCTGCTTGCCATGAAAAGCACCACGTTTTTGAGGTTCTCCCGAACTGCCTCCTCCTACGTACTGTTAGCAATCTCTTCTGTAAGGTCCAGGACTCTCCACATAAACGTACCAGGCTATCGCCTTGACCGCTATTCATCAACCGATCCATGATGTCAATAATCTTGACCCACAGATCCAGCATTCCGTCCCACTCTGAGAGGAGCACGAGATACTGAAGGAACACTTTGCACAGCAGGGACGCAGCTTGAACACGCATCTCGCTCATGCCGTCACGGTCCGATGAAAAGACTTCAGGCTTAAGGAGTTTGTGAATGAGAGGGAACAGGACCTCGCCAAATATGGCGGTCCACTCCTTGTGGTCACTGTCAGTGAGCTCAGGCGAGAGTAGAGATCGCTGCAGCGACGTGAACGCCTGGAGGCGAACATCGCGGCATGGGTTTGTACATTGCGTTGTTAGTGCTTGGAAGATAGGGAGCCAGTAAGCGGACCATGCTGTAACATTGCGTTAGTCGTTGTTACTCATTTCCCAGCGGTGAAGAGCATTACCTTCGTTGCTCTCAAGATGGGACTGCTTCATCAAGAAAGGTATACGCGCTGTCATATTGTGAATACTGTTGACCGCCTTGGTACCTCGTGAGATTGCCTCATTGACACTGCTGGCCGTTAGTAACTTGCAATATGGCAGAGGCCTCGGGAATCACTCACGTCGTCTTGTCGTGTGTCCCCTCTCGGGCCTTACGCTGCTGGGCATCTAGCTTGCGCTCTGCAAGGACAATCCGACCTGCCCCGGACGCGAAGTCGCCAAAGAGAGAGATGGCCGCCTCGTAGTTGTCGGCAATGATAGCAGGTGGTGTACCTCCGCAACCTAACTCGAGAATGTCAAACACGAGAGGTGCAGAATCTGGACGTCCGGTAAGTGCTCGCATGATTGCCCAGAAGTCCGGGGAAGTCATGATCTCGTTGCGTAGTGGGCTGGGTTCGTCAATGCACAGTCTTAAGCCCTGGAGCACCATGGTCGAAGTTCTCGCCAGTGCTTCCTTGGGGAAGCTCGAGATTGTGTGCAACAGTACCGGGACGTTGATGTAATCATGAGCCTGTAAACCAGTTAATGAGGAAAAGAAAACGCTTTCAGCGGGTAAGTGCATGCATACATAGCTGACTCGGAGTAGCTTGAGAAGATAAAAGGTCGCCCTCGAGACAACAATGTAGTGGTACCGTCCAGCATCTCGCAGTACGACCTGCAGTGCTTCGATGACCCTCTTTGCTACAAGTTGGACAGTGTCCTGATCGCGAAGAGCCAGGACTGTGCTGAACTCAAGGATGTAGGCCATGGCAGGGTCGTACACAGCTCCTGGTTGCACGGGCTTTTGGCCGTTCATTGTTGCTGCGGGTACATTGTCCGACTTGACAACGATCACCGTTGGGTTGTTATCTTCAGGTAGTGCGTTGAGGAGGGAGTCAATCAACGGCTCTAGGTCTTGAGGGGAGAGTTTTCTACGCGACTCTGATTAGTAGCTGGACTGGCCAGGAGCAGGCTGACTTACGAGATGTTGGCAAAGACGTTGCCCATATGACATGAGTTGACACAGTCGACGGTGCAGAGGGTACTTTCCAGTTCCTCGTCCGAGGGTTCTGGTGGATCGTCTGCTGCGTAGCTGGAAATGTAGCTAGTGAAGGCAGAAAAGAAGCCCGTATCGACAGTCTTTGCAGCACGATCGATTACCTGAGAAGGTGTGTGCAGCGGGATCGGACCAATGTCCAGAACTGGTGAATCCGCAAAGAAGGGAGGGACCAGGGAGTTGACAAAGAGGTTGAGCCATATGCGGGTGATCTAGATTTCGTTAGTTTTTCCGCCATGATGACCCAGGAGGATGTTGACATACATGTTTCCAACCATCCTGAATTAACTCCTCACTGCCAGTGACAACCCGGAAAAGTACCAGAGTCGCCAGTTGCGCCCTGAAGTCTCTTCCAAGTTTCACTGCCAGCTCGCTGACCATGACACTGCTTTCGCCAGCTTGGACCTCGGTATTCAAGTTGGTGTTGAAGGGTATGTCAGTAGCCAAGGTTGTCATGTGGCTCAGTGCGTAGATGATCTGATCGAGAGCCTCCGTGTTTTTATACTTGGCCGCAATACGAGCGCATTCGTCAAAGCCAGTGACGATCCTCGCAAAGACTGCATCGTCCGTAGCCGACATGAATACGTAAGAAAGGGTGGACACGATAGGCCGCCACGTTGAGGCGAACATGTCGGCATCGTAGATGTTCGTCTCGCACAGAACCAGCGGACGCACCGATTCCGACTTGACGAGCAACTCGCGCCAAGCATAGTCAAACGCATGCTTGTTGTCATGCTCATCAGGCAGGATGATCTCGTTGGTTCTAATGTTGTCAAAAATATCCTGAAGATACTCTGGCGCAAAATTTTGGCCATCATTGACGCCTCGCAAATTTCGTGCAAAATCGTCCACGGTCATACGCTTTTGACTCTTGAGGTTGGGGTTGTGCTGATCCGTGTTGAGCATGATGATGGCGTAGGTCAGGACATAGACAGCATCCGCGTTGGCGACCTCGGTTGGTTTCGCCTTCAAGCAGTACTTATCTGCGAAACAGACAACGATTCTCTCAATCAATGCTGACTCGCCAGGCAATCTGAATGTCTCCAACAGTCCTCTGAGCGCCTCGTCCACTCGCTTCTCTGAAAAGTCGAAGTGGCCCATGAACGCCTCTAGTACGGCCTCGTTTCCCTTCTTGGAGAGATACTCGCCGAGGACCTTTTTGGACACGCGCGATGTTCCCTTGAGGAACTTGGCGACCGCGACTGGATCCTTGAGGTCGGAGATGATTCCCTGGGCCTCGAGATAGGCAAGGCCGCCCTTGGGGTTCTCGTTGAACTTGCTGGTACCCTTGATAATGATCTTCTTCTTCCGTCTCAGTTCCCGTAGCTCCGTAGCGTCGGGATAGCCATCGACAACCGGGGGTTCGTCCAACCTTTCGGCGATGAACTGGATGTATCTGAGCAGTGCATCCAAGCAAAGCGGTGGCACGCTCGTCGTGCTCCAAGTTGCAGAGTCCGGCAAAGCATTTCTCGAGAGAAGGCCAATCATGTCTTCGCATAGGTCCGCTCGATCAGCGTCGCAATCGTAATTGACAAAGAGTTCAGCCATGAACGTTGGCATCCTTGACAGTACACCAATGTTCTCAACCATGGCTTGTCGTGCGTCTGGCTTCCTGGCACCACCCTCAAGACCGAGTTTTTGCCGATCCTTCACCGGGACTGGCGTCGAGCGGCCGCTGCTGGTCTGCGATGGGGGTGGCTTGACGAGCTTGGGGGATTGCGGTATCCCGGCATACAGTGACGGGTCAATGCCTGGTTCTCGCGGTATTTCTACCGACGGGTGAAGGCACGCAACGAGATACGAAAGAAAGAGTTCCTGCTGCAATTTTAAAACACCGCGGCAGGTGGCTAGTAACGTGCCGGCCACGATCAACGACTCTTGCAGGATGGCCATGTTGTCCGACCTAACAAGCTGGAAGAGATAGCAGCAGAGCCTGTCCTCGGCTATCCCAGCCAAAGCAGGGTGCCGCGCAATAGAGGGACCAGAAACCTCGAGGGCAACGTGAATAATGCGCAATGCCATGACTCTCATAGTGTCGGTATGCTGCCGGTCGTTGGGGTCCAAGAAGTTGACTAGAACCCGGAAGAGTTCCCGCACAGAAGGCAGCGAGTAGGGCCGGAGATCCAAAGAGTCGGAACTCTCCGCGCCATCTGCATCACCATCGGCCTCCACATCGCCGCCAGCGCCAGCGTCGGTCTTGCTATCACCCGACTCTGAGCCTCCCCGAGATCGTGGATTCGGGTCCAAGGGAGTCGAGCTTGAGGTGGACAGGCGCGCATCCGGTTCAGGGCTCGTCACCTGCAAGCCTGGCGCAGTAGTCGCGGCTGGATCCATTTTGACGCTGTCCATGTCTGCGCTTGTTTGCTTGTCGAGAGCGTCGGACTCATCTCCGGCCTCAACCTCGAGGTGTTTGACGTCCTCAAAGATAATCTGGCACATGCGAACCATGGACGCCTCGGCTGTTCGTCGGAGGACGGGCGAAAATCGAGGTTGCGAGCAAATTGCTAGCCCCCTGCCCATCATATCGCAAACACTTTCGTCACTTAAAATGTCGCCTCCTGGCCCCGACATCATGTCCTCCATTAGGTGAAGAATCATCAGGAGAACAACCTCCACCTGTCCTGAGTCGCTTCCGTCGAATTGACACCGAGTGACGGCTGCTGATAGGGACTGCATGGCAAGGGCGAATCGTGGTGACGCAGGGCTTATAAACCCGTATGCCAAGAACTTGCGCAGGGCTCCCAGAGTGAGGATGGTTATGGGCGCGGCCGTACCTTTCGTTTGGATTATCTGAAGGAACGGATTCAAGAGAACCAGAGCGTCGAATGAGTGTATGTCTGGGGCGCAACGTTGTTAGCAAGGCTAGCTCAGCATAGCAGAGGCCAGTGCCGCAAAGAGCGAGTTTGAGTCCTACCTCTAACGCTGGCCAATTCATGACGGAGCTTCCCAAACCCGGCCATCAATGGGTTGTCCTGTATGCTGCGACCCTTCTTTCCACGTAGGCCCCATCTGTTGGCGGAGGCCACGTCCTGAGCGCCATCGATCCCGAGTCCAGTGCCTGGTGTCTTGGATGCACCCCTCGGTGAAGGACTCGGGGGCCCCAGGTGAATCGGGTTTGGGCTCCCACCCAAGATGGCCGAAACGGAAGAATGAGGTGATCGCGCATGTTTTTGAATCGCAGAAGTGATCGATATGCACTCGGACATGACCAAAGACACGGGGTCTACAGCGACAGAGACAGGTCGGCTTCGATACTGCATCCTCGGCGCGATCATGGCTCGACGAATGTCCGCGCTAGAGCGCGTGCCAACGGCAGAGGCCGTCTCGGTTTGCAGCAAGTCATCTGCATCTCGGCTCATGGTATGAAGGTAAACGCGGTGGTTCGAGGGCGCGCGCGCGAGGATCGGTCTTGGAGGGCTCTCGGTATGATGGTGTCGGGTGGCGGCGTTCAGGCTAGAGAGAAACGACGAAGCACGGGCTGAATATCCGTGGGTGACAGCAAATTACTTTGGCAATGTGTGCCGGATGCCTTGTGCAATCGCCGAGGAGGGGTCCAAGGACAGATATCCGTCGAGCCGTTGGAGGTTAGCTCGGGTTCGTAGGGTGCGGATCGAGAACGTTGAGATTTAGGTGTCTTGTCCAAGACGGAGACAGCTGTCGCCAAAAAGGATTCCTGGGCGTGGAATTGACCAGGTTGCAGATGGAGCTCCAAGTCTTACCGTGTACCTACGGAGCAAGGCCACTCTACGTGGCGCCCGGTGTTAGTGATCACTAAGTATTAGCAAGTACCCACGGTAAAGCAGCCCGATAAGGTGCAATGCCCCAGATTGGGGTTCCGCTGCAAGGTACCTCAGTACCCGAAAGCTAAGCTGTGGGGGTACGTATCCTCCCAAGGTTCTAGCCTTCAATAGAGGTAGAGGCCTACTTATCCGAACTTTTATAAGCCACCTTACTTTATCCTCTAGCCTTGGCCATAATCTTCTGGCAAGACACTTTCTACACAAATAGACACTGTTTAGACCTGGCTCTATCATATCCGTCACAGTCTTGATCCCAATTGGGGTCTCAGTAGATAAGAGACGAGGCCTATTTTGAAAAAAGCCAGACAGTCGCGATTATTCACAATCAACAAGAGTCCTGAACTGACAAAGTTGTTTCGGGCTCATTTTCTGCATCTAATCACGTATATTGAAACTTCAACTGTACATCTGTAACTCATAATTTCGCGGGCTAGTTCTATGCCCGACGTGGTGCCCGTGTCCTTGGGCCCCAAGATAAATCAACGCCTTCCTACAACATCCCTTTGTTCCAGACCATCCGGTGGCAGATATCTTAGTGTACAACAAAAGTTGACAACACGGCTCGACTCTGCTTTTTATCCCCGTGTATCGATTGCGCAAGCTGTCCGCTGGCGGCAACCTGCGTACCGATACTTGTTCATCAAGAACAGCGACAGATCCCAGCAATGTTCGACGGTAGGGAGTCATCCTACTAGATTCATCCTCCTCAGCTCTCAGCCTTCTTGGCGAATGCTGCGCCGTTTCCGTCCTTTTCCTTTTTTGCCAGCTTGTCTGACTTGCCTTCTGTATCCTTCTTGTCTGCTGCTGCGGCCTTCTTGTTTGTATCCGCTTGGTTGCTGTCGGGATCCTTGGGCGACTTGGCCTCCTTGCCCTCCTTGGCGACCTCCTTGGTGTCTTCCTTTGTGCCCTTCGTCTCTTTCTTCTTCTCTCCGACGACGAGGTTTTGCATATCAGTCTTGTCCTTCTCCCACTGGCTGCTGGCATCGCCGAACTGCTCTTTGACCTTCTTAGCCTTTTCGGCCTTTTCTTCTTCCTCTTTTTGGCTAGCAAGCCTCTCTTGTTCCATTTCCTGTATTGCGTTAGAATAGACTTCATGACGTTGCCATTGAGCAAGAGACGTACCTCCATGTGCTTGATGTCGTCAACACTAGGCTCGTAAAGATGCCAGATCGTGTAGTGCGGCAGACCGACAACAGAGTATTCCATGCGCTTCGCCATCTACACCGGAATGGTTAGTTCTCTTCTACATCCAGTAGCACAATCATCTTACCTTTCCGAATCCTTCCGTCTCAGCGTGCTTCTCGAAACTAAAAGCTGGGAAGTGTACTCCAGACCGGAAGACCTTGGCCTTGGCAAGAATACTGACGCCGCCCACTCCATCAATTTCCATCTCCATATCAGGGTCGCCATATGGGTCTCGCAGGTATGCCAAATGCGGCCGCCAAGTCGCATACTCGGCGTAACCTTCAACGATCACAGCATCTTCGTCCAGAGTGTCCGCGAGAGCTAGCGCCGTTTCTGATTCCTGCCATGAGTTGAGATCATACGGCTGCTCTCCACCAAGCCAATCGGGCAAAGGTCGCCAAACATCTGCGAACCGTTAGTGAGATACTCTCCCTCACCCCTTAGGGTTTCTCTGACTTACTTGGCACAATCACGTCCTTGTTGTGACGCATGAGATCTTCGAGGATGGTGAATGGGGCGGTTTCGACGTCAACGTCGCGCCAGTACACCCAGGAATGGTATGGCCGCAGGGCGGCACTGAGTAGCCAGTTACGGGCCTGGGCCATCAACTTCCTTCGGCTCGCCTGTGCCGCGAATCCGTGACGACTCTCCACATCCTGGTTGACCTTTTGTCCAAAATCCTTTTCGATGATGGAGATCTCGCCGTAAGGCTGTTTGGGGTCCTCATCGGCCTGAATCTCCTCTAGCATATCGTTGAGAACCTGTAGGGTGCGGTCCTTGGAGTCGGAGACCAGGAAGGCAAGGTCGATGAGGTGGTGGGGGTAGGTGAAGTTGCGCAGATGGGAGGCGAACATTGACAGATGTGACTCGGCGTCTCTCAGAGGGACACAGAGAAGAATGCGCTCCTCCCGCTCCCATCCTCTAGCAGTCCCCTGCACATTGCTGAGATCGTAGTACCGTACTGTTTCCAATTGCAAGTCGCTGCTGGCAGACAGCAGACCGAGGGAGAAGATGGAAGTCAGGGAGGCTCCCGGCCAGACGAAGACGAGAAAGAAGATGGCGACAACGGCGACAATGATGAGGCGAGTTACTAGACGCTGACGACGACGATTCGCGGGTGTTGAGGCTCGTGGTTGGTATCTGTTGAGAAGAGAATGACAGGTCAGCGAGGCGCGGCGCAAAGGATAGAAGCAATTAGCGAGGAGAGAACAAAGGTGTCTTCCTGACCTATGGGGGGAGATCTCGAACGTGTTCCCCCTTGGATATCCATTGGAGTAACCACTCGCATGATGCCGCGGCACCACCTTGGAGGCTGAGGAAGAATAAGAAGGCAACATCCAGGGCACTGGGTGGAAGTCGAATTCCCGGTCCCGAGGTGAGGGTGGAGAGTTGTACAGCAATGAAGCACCTCGCCCAGCCCTTGGGAGTCGTGAAGATTAAGCAGAGGAGAGCATCTAAGACCAGGGGGAGCGAGTGCTGTGATCGTTTGGCTGGCTGGAAAGTGCGGCTCGGGCAGCGAACGTGTCAAGTTGTCGAAAGGTATGAAGGCCGCGATCGTGATGGCGGATGACAATGCGTCTTGAGGAGGATAGGTAATATGGGTTGGGTCAGGTAGGTTAAGGGAGCGTCGACGGGATACCTGCGAATACGGGGTCTGGGACTGGGACTGGACCGGGACGCCAACTTTGGCTACGTATTATTTTATTTTCAGATTGCCTCTCTGTCATCCCAGGAATTGAATAGGTACTTGGCGGCCCAGCCGTGACAGGGCACCTAGCCAGGTACCGGCACCCCTGCTTCGCGCCGTTTGGGAAGCATGCACAGTAAGGACAGCGTACTTTGAACGTGTCCATCTGCCAAAGGCAGGGTGGCAGGGCGGGAGGATGGGTACGAAGTGCACAGTCTGCCATGTAATTGGACGAAACTTGGCGCAAGAAGCCTCCCTGAGCTCCCACTAGTCTGGATTCCATTGCCTCAAGCTACGCGGGACCAAGGTACCTTGCCATTCGAGCTTCTGAATTCGCGACTATCTGGCCGTGCAATCGCCCGGGAGGTCTGTAAATCTGCCTCCGTTAAAGCTTAACCTCCCTTCCATCCACGTTCGCTCCCAACGATAAAGCGGTATTCAGTGCTCTTAAGCTAAGTCTTCTCTTAGGCACCCCCCTCCCCCCTTCAAATGCTTTCATGACACCGGCAAGCGTCAGTCATCCTCAAAAACTCCAACATCTGTCTGAAAACGTGAGCGTAGAGTCAGACTTGGTAGAGCTGACAGGAAGCAACCGATCAGAGAAATGGGAAACTTGGCTTATGGGCTTGTGGAAGACACTAGGGAGTATGGGCAAGATCACGACTAGGAAGAGATACGTCGTAAATCCCTTTAAACGCAGGTAGTAAGGTAAGTTCAGGCGCCTTACCGCAACAACCAAATTGAACAGGTAGGTCCCCTCGATGATGAAGTCTGGAGAGAGTACGCAACACAATACGAAGGTGTCGCATTTCACTGTTAGACGTGAGGTATTCGGCATTCCCGAGGCCATCACACATAGACATTTTACCCACTCGCCCACATACTCCATCACACTGCGCTTGCGGTTGTGGGGGACATCAGGGAGGAGAGCGCGGCTAGAGACCAACACTCCATGCCCCTCTGACATATTACTCATCTCCAACGCCTTACCACATTATCTCGACTGTAGCGGCAGGTGGATAAATTGCGCATGCGAGGCTACGCTTCACTGTAGGTATCATGAACACAACGAAATAAAAGCGCTCTGAAGGATGTCACGAGAGATGAATATACACACAGAATTCACATCACCGAGGCAAGGCAAGACGAGAAGGAATCCTAAACGTGGCCATCATTAGCAAAGTGAACCACACGTAAAGACTACTTGAGAAAGTATGATGATGGCATCAGGTCAGACGAGCCGGGTGTACTCATTCAGCCTAGCCGGCCTCGCAAACCCTGAACCTCAGAACGAGGAACCGAGAAGCTCAGCACTGAAGTCAAATGACGACTCCCGAGGGAGCCAACTCCACCACCTTCCTCGTCCCTCCGGAGAGGAACTCCAGTGCGGGAGGATGACTCGGCTGGCATGACATAGTTGAATGGATAAGCTGTGGTCATCATGATGTTGCGTGTGCCCCGGGTAGGAAGCCTGGGAAGCACGCGAGGGAAAACATTGCGAACAAAAAAATTCTTACCTGTGCTTGCGCGCTTGCCCACTATGTTGGTGGCGACAGCTCTTACGCTGAACAACCAAGATTGCATGCCTCCTGTGGGACTGTTCCTGTTAGCTATTTGACTCGAATGATCAAACAGTAGCAAAGGAGGAAGATAGACGTCGTATCAGACAAAGTTTTTGGTATATGGGTTATCATCACAGAGTTCAGTAGCAGAACTGAATGATATGGTTGTTCATCATAGTCGACGATGTGCAGGTGCTGCAAAAAGAAGGACGGAAAAAAAAGCGAAGTTGACATACCCAAAGAAAGTGTAGACAGGAAGTTCTGACGATGAGGTATTCACCTGGTTTATTAACCTTGAACCACAGTTAGTGATGTTCTCTTTTCTGGTCTCTAGAGAATGTGCTGAAGGTCCATAGTGGCGTGGGATCAGATGGTGATGCATGTTTGTTCTTGCGCTCAGGAGATCGCGGGAACGGTGTGTAAGATATACATCATGAAAGTGGACAGTGGGCGCGAATGAGGCTGAAAAAAACTTACCGAGTAAAATGCTCTCGAAGCTGACCATGCGAA